TCATTGCCCAAATCATTGTGGATGCATGCTCTTAAAAACGCTGTATATTTATTAAACAGGGTTCCTAGTAAGGCAGTTCCAAAGACCCATTTTGAAATGTGGACAGGAAGGAAACCTAGTTTAAAGCACCTGCATATTTGGGGTTGCCCAGCGGAAGCTAGAGTTTATAATCCACAAGAAAAGAAATTAGATTCTCGAATAGTAAGTGGTTACTTTATTGGTTACCCAGAGAAATCTAAAGGGTCTGTGTTTTACTGTCCAAACCATAGCTCGAGAATTATTGAAATCGGTAATGCAAGATTCATTGAGAATGGTGAAGTTAGTGGGAATGTTGAAAAACAAAGTGTGGAAATAAAAGAGGTAAGGGTCAATATTCTATTACCCACGAATGTACCTACTTCCACACAAATACCAAATATTGTTCCAGTTGTTGAATAACATTTTGACAACACCGAGCAACATTTAGATGAAACACTTCATGAAAAAACTAACTCACAAATATCTAACACAAATGAACCACAAGAAATGCTATTAAGAAAATCTCAACGAGTTAGAAATCGGCTATTTCGGATGATTATGTGGTTTATTTGCAAGAGTCGGATTTTGACATTGGTCTTAATAAGGATCTGATTTCATTTTCACAAGCCATAGAAAGTAATGAGTCTAACAAATGGATTGATGCCACGAAGGAAGACTTAAAATCCATGGAATACAATAAAGTCTGGGATCTTGTTGAATTGCCAGAAAGTTCTAAAAGAATCGGGTGTAGATGGGTTTTTAAGACCAAACGTGATTCAAATGGCAATATTGAACGATACAAAGCCAGACTTGTTGCTAAGGGTTATACTCAGAAAGGAGGCATTGATTATAAAGAGACATTTTCACCAGTCTCAAAGAAAGACTCGTTAAGAATTATTATGGCTTTGGTGGCTCATTATGATTTAGAGTTATATCAAATGGATGTGAAAACTGCCTTTCTTAATGGAGACCTCGAGGAGGAAGTTTATATGGACCAACCAGAGGTTTCGAAACTAAAGGAAAAGGTCAAATGGTGTGTAAACTGAAGAAGTCAATATATGGACTTAAACAAGTCTCACCACAATGGTATATAAAATTTAATGATACCATAACATCTTTTGGATTTGTGAAAAATACCGTTGATCGGTGTATATACCAAAAGATCAGTGGGAGCAAGTTTATATTTTTAGTCCTATATGTTGATGATATTCTACTTGCTGGTAATGATTTAGGCATATTATGTGAGACTAACGATTTTCTCTCTAAGAATTTCGAAATGAAAGATATGGACGAGGCATCCTATGTGATAGGAATATAAATATTCCGTGATAGATCACAAGGATTATTGGGATTGTCTCATAAAGGCTATATCGAAAGAATTCTAGAGAGATTTAATATGAACAATTGTTCAACAGGAATTTTTCCAATTAAAAAAAGGGACAAATTTAGTCTCATGCAATGACCTAAGAATGATGTAGAACGAAAGGAAATGGAATCAATTCCTTACTCTTCAATTGTTGGTAGTCTGCTCAGACCTGCACAAGACCGGATATTAGTTTTGCGGTCGGAATGCTAGGAAGATATCAGAATAACCCATGAATTGATCACTCGAAAGCTGCAAAGAAAGTTTTGAGGTACCTGAAAGGAACGAAGGATTACATGCTCATGTATAGGAGATCCAAGCATTTGGAAATTGTTGGATACTCGGATTCAGATTTCGCTGGATGTATTGACACTAGAAAATCCACGTTTGGTTATTTGTTCCAATTAGCTGAAGGAGCAATATCGTAGAACAGTGCCAAACAGTCTATCATTGCTACATCCACGATGGAAGCAGAATTTGTGGTATGTTTTGAAGCTGCAATTCATGCATTATGGCAGCGAAACTTTATTTCAAGACTTGAGATTGTCGACACTATTGCCAAGCCGCTGAAAATTTACTATGATACTTCTGCAACAGTATTCTTCTCCAAGAACGATAAGTATTCCAAAGGTGCCAAACATATGGAGTTAAAGTACTTTACCGTCAAGGAGGAAGTTTAGAAACAAAGAGTCACTTGAGCATATTAGAACAAATCTCATGATTGCAGATCCGTTAACGAAAGGTTTACAGCCAAAGATATTTAAAGAACATGTACATAGAATGGGTCTTGGCTGTATTTATGACTGATGTATTTATGATGTTTTGACACTCTGAGCTCATTTATATGTTTCTCATATACATTAGTGATTTCCTGTTTCTCATAATGGTGTACACATTATTGTTTTGAGATATTACAGGATAAGTCTCAATGAGATATTATTGTGGACCATAATATTTTATAGCTTATGGACCTGGTACGATGAGTTGCTAATGTTGTAGTATATGGAAGGGAGTATGTAGACAAATTATATATAACCGCCATAACTCACATTTAGTAGTTTATCGTATTATGGCATTTATGATGGACATTGAAGTAGAGATTTGTTTATGCGCAACTAATGTTCCTATATTAAATATTAATATTATGTGATTATTGGGCCAAATGGGAGAATGTAACTTATGTTTTTCTACGTGTATGTGGCACAATAGGTTTAAGGCCCATAATTAATATTTAATTAATGATCAAATATCATCCGTCCGATCGGTTACTTGATGGACATACCAGATTAAATAAGAACCTCTATAAATTGTTCCTCTCCCCACCTATTAGGGTTATCGTATTTTATTTTCTCTCTTCCATCACTAAAGTCGGCGGTAACGAAAGCTAGAGCAAGGGGCGAGAAACCAATTTTGAATTAACGCTTCCGCTTCACGATGATGGCTTACGATTCAGGTATTTTCTGCAACGATTTTGTGTAAGATTATCATGTTCAAGATCCTGGTATACAATTAAAGTTTATGCTTACAGTTGTATGGGGCTGAATGTTGGCCAGCAAGATTGCTCATGTCCAAAAGATGAAGGTAGCAGAGATGAGGATGTTGAGATGGATGTGCGAGCACACCAGGTTAGATAGGATCAGAAATGAGGTTATTCGCGATAAGGTGGGGATGACCTCTATTGAGGACAAGATGCGGGAAGCGCGGCCTAGGTGGTTTGGTCATATGAGGAGGAGGATCACAGACGCCCCGGTGAGGAGGTGTGAGAGATTGACATTGGAGGGCCTACGGAGAGGTAGAGGTAGGCCAAAGAAGAGGTGGGGAGAGGTGATTAGGCAAGACATGGCGCAACTTCAGCTGACCAAGGACATGACCCTTGATAGGAAGGTATGGAGGTCGAGAATTAGGGTAGTAGAGTAGGTAGTGTAGAGTGTTCATAACATTAGTATTGGCACACAGTCTCGTAATCTGTTGGTAGTAGTTTTTTATGACTAACTATTATTTTCTTTCATTGTTGATCACTTTACTGTCTTGTTGTGTTATTATGCTTTTATATGGCTTTTTGATACTGTCCCTTGTTGCCTATATTTCATTAATGTGGTACTTATACTATCCTGAGCCGAGGGTCTATTGGAAACTGCCCCTCTATCCTCACAAGGTAGGGGTAAGGTATGCGTACACACTACCCTCCCCAGACCCCACGGTTTGAGATAATACTGGGTATGTTGTTGTTGTAATATATATATATATATATATATATATATATATATATATATATATATATATATATATATATATATATATATATATATCTTCTCATTACTAATTATATTGTATGACTCCCTTCATTATTTAATCACCACTTAAACAATCCGAACATTATAATGGTAACATGATTTTGATGTTTATTCTAACTCATTTGACTTAAGCATTTTGAGGGCTATAATTGAATTTATAAATAAATAATTATACGTTTGTATTGTATAGACGTGTTGAAATTGAATGTTATTAACTTTCCGCTGCCCCATATAATATGTTTAAGTTGTATCGTACAAATATATGCTCTAGAAAAATTATACTGATTTCTATATGTCAAAAAATTCATATTTTATTAATAAAAAACTTATCTAAGTTTGAAGAGCCCAACATACGATTTGCAAAATTAGATTTGAACTTCAAACGTGATATTCAAGTCTTATTAGCATTTTCTTGAATGACATGATAATCTTCACCCCAAGTTAAACATAAGGAAATGTTAATTTTGTTCTTAAATTACTTCATTCATTCAAATAGAATGTCCACATTCACTAGTTATCCAGGACAAAATTATGTTTTCAAGAAAATAAACATTAAAATTACTCAATCTCAAAAGATAATTTATAAGGTGATCAATGCTCAAAATTATATAAAGAGATAACAACATATTTTCTCAAACTAATATGGGATACTGTGTCTGTGACAAACCCTATACTCAGACTAATTTGGAGCGTGTACAATATAATATGAGGCTCAGACATTTGGTAAATCAAAATTAGAGATCAGTCTAACTCAAATACTATATTATGAAAATAAACCTCAAACCTAACTCAGCTATTCTTAACAGCTTAGACTCTGATTCGACTAGGCTAATTATTCATCAATCCATTTGGATGTGAAATTTTGGGGGTTAATTTCTTGAATTGTCACTCAATTTTACTTTATTGCACCAATATTTCTTAACTCTTTTTTTATATAATGAACAAAATCAGTATACTATTCTTTCAACCGAAAATTCACTCAACTTTGTGTATCACATAAAGTTACTAGGTGGAAACAAAGTAGACACTTGCCAAGATACTTATGCAAAGTTGAATGACTTTTTATGAGACTTAGGTAAAATTGAGCAACTTTTTCTTTACAAAAAATAATCCAATAACTTTGATATAATAAAGTAAAAAATTAAAGTGATCCCATAAAATTACCTCTGTTTGTTATTGACTCCACATGCTTTACATTTAGACAAAAGAATTACTACTCAAGGCGTAATATTAATTTACTACACACACACACAAAAAAAAAAAATCAGTACACAAATATCCATGAGTTTAAAAAGGGCAGCCCGGTGCACTAAAAGCTAAAAATATCCATGAGTTTAAAACTAAAAATTTCTCCTTTCTTTAGAACTGCATTTGAAGTTACACCAGAAATGTAGCTTGTTTTCCCATAAATAAAGCAGTTAAGAGTGCCACAACAGTCAACACAATCAAGACATTGGAACAAGCAGATAGGAAAAAACTAAAAGCTGAAGATCATGGAAATTGAGAAAGAACATGATAACCAACCAAGGCATGAAGGAAGCATAACGAGGGACCATATGTACATAGACTATAAAAAAGGGCTGCTCGGTGCACAAAGCATCCCACGTTTACGCAGTGCCGGGGGAAGGGCCGCACTCCAAGGAGGTGTGAAGTAGGCAGCCTACCCTGACGCAAGCATCAGTGGCTGATTTCACAGCTCGAACCCGTAACCTATATATAGACTATTTGGATAATTGGATCAGTTCTCCATTGATGAGCCTCAGAAATGATGAGATATCCTACCCGAGCATTCTGAACTCAAGATCAGTCAGTTATCGATCCTAAGTACCTTCAGGTTTGTGAGGCAACTCATCCCCTCGGGCAATGAAGATAACTTACCGCACTTGGAAATTTCAAGTTTTTCAAGTGCGGTGAGATTTTCCAGCCACTTTGGCAATGCTGCAAAATTGGGGCACCTTTCCACCCTCAGGTATTGTAGAGTAGCACTGGAGCCTTCAAGCCATCGGGGCAAAGTAACTAATTGTGGTAACCCGGCAAGCACCAACATCTTAATGTTCCCGAGGCATTGAACATCTTTTGACTCCAATCCGGGTAAACCTCCAATAACTAGTGACCGGATCATCCTAAGTCCTTCAATATCTTGCCACTCCAATAATGTAAGCTCTTTACAGTCAACAATCAACAGATTCTCCAGAGCAGTAAGGTGTTTCATAGCACTTGGGAAAAAGGTCAGTCTTGGGCAACCGATAATTGCCAATGTGCGAAGGCTAGTAAGATACTGCAGGCCTTCAGACAAAGATACGAGATTCGTGCAGCTATAAATATACAAAGAACGAAGAGATGATAAGCAGCCAATTGCTTTATCAGGAAAACTTGATTGCTTGGTGGTTATATGCACGTGTCTTAGGCTGATCAAATTTCCTATATCTTTAGGTAATCCTTCAAGTTGTGCACAATGAGAAACTCGAAGTGTCTGTAAGCTCAGCAACTTGTTAATCGAATCAGGTAATTCTCTAATGCTTCCATTGGAACTTATGTCAAGATATCTTAAGTACTTCAATTCGCCAACAGAGCGAGGCAGCTCATCAAAACATGAATCACTTATATCTAGCACCCTAAGTTGCGCGAATCTTGCTATGCAGTTCTCAATGAACATTGTACTCATCGGCCCTACTCCATCAACAGAGAAGGATATGGTCCTCAATGTCTGGTTATTGAGAAGGGATGCTGGCAGTTCCTTGCCTGACAAATCATAGTCAGAAAATACCACATGTCTGACCTCATCAGAAATGCTTTGTGTGTGAGAAGCTACCGTACAGAATTCAACCCCTGCTGCTGACAGTGCAAGATCATGTACAAGGTCATGCAATCTACAGAGTGAGGTAAAAACAGAACGGTATTCTTCAACTTCTTGAAAAAAGGATCTCGACAATAACTCTTGGAAATATTGAATCCCAATGTGTTCAAGATCTTCAGATCGCTGATTCACGAGACCTTCTGCTACCCACAACTGTATCAATTTATCTATTTCAATCACACAGTCCTTGGGTAATATTGAGCAGTAAGCAAGACAAACTTTGAGATTAGATGGCAATAGCTCATAGCTTACGATTAGTGCAGGTGAAATGTCGTTATTCTGATTTGAGTTCCACATCTTATGATTTTTAACTTCATGCCACTTCCATTCCTTAGTTTCCATGTGTAATGAAGATCCTAAAAGCATTAAGAGTAAGGGATTTCCCTCACACTTCTGCACTATATCTGATGCAATCGCAACAAGATTTGGATATAGTACTTCTTGACCTTCTTCAAAGGCCTTACTCAAGAACAAAGTCAGACAATCTTCACTTGATAAACCCTTCAAACAGTATGCAGGAACCGTCCCCATTATCGAAGCTACTGCCTCATTCCGCGTAGTTACAAGAATCTTGCTTCCACAAGCACCCACCATCAACAACTTCTTCAATTCATCCCACTTTACTGGATCCTCATTCCACACATCATCTAGAACAATCATATACTTCTTTTCATACAAAGTCTCACGAACGAGAGTCTGCAGTTCATTCATATCATCATTCTCACACAAATCTTCTCTAATTGAATTCACAATTTGTTCCAATAATTTCTCTACTTGAAACACACGAGACACACGAACCCACACACGCAGCTGAAAATGACTAACTATCCTTGGATCATTATACACCAGTTTCGCAAGAGTAGTTTTCCCAATACCTCCAAATCCAACAACAGGAAATACAAAAAGGACTGCTTCATTTCCTGGTTTTAAAAGCGTTTCAACGACAATATCTCTATCAAAGTCCCTCCCCACAACACCAGAGTCATGCACATACGCATGTGTATGCATAAGCCCCCTTGCTCTGTGAGGACTAGGAAAGCCACCAAATCCCATCCTCTTAAAAAACACTCGGCTCCTACTTATCTTATCCAATATCTTAATGAGCTTTCGCGTTACAAGACACATTCGAATCCTATAGGCAAAAGGGTTTGATCTAGAGAAGGAAAAAACACACACCTTTGCTGATGTCGCGTCGGGAAGCAACTGGTTTTGCAAAGACCAAATTTCATACTCTTCAATCACATGCTCAGCTTCATAAAACGCGGGCTTTAGCATCTCAGCTACCTGATGATCAAAGAGATCATCAGATTCTGTGACTCTAACAAAGAGCTCTAGTTTTTTGAGTTGGGAATGCATTTTCAAAGTCCTTGCAATGTCAACAATAGTGTACAATTTCACTAGAAGCATATCAACCAGTACCTTCATATCCATGGTGATGGAAGGGAATGTTGCAGATTCTTGAAGCTGATCCATAGAGAAAGATTGGTTCTTGATTTACATCTTTCTTTTAGCAGAGGAAGTAAAGGAAGTACAAACTAATTAATAAGTGCAAAGATTGGTACTTTATTGGACTATAGGATATCCTTGTGAGAACTGAAGAGCGTTTGCTTCTTGTTGACTTCTAGGGAATGAAATTAAATCATAATCAACAAACTAGGAAGTTTCTTCGCATCAACAAGTTGGGTAAAAAGAAGAGGACAAACTTTATAGTGTTGACTTGACTTTGAGCTAACTAATATGTCACTGTAGCAGCATTTTTATATTGCTAATTGGCAAAGTTTATTACAATGGCAGAAGTGGTGCAAACTTGACATGCTTGCCAGTTGTTTTAGAGGTCCTTCGCTCTCAGAGGACATTTCACAAACAGGTGGGGAGCTTCACCTTCGCCGCACTAAAATCTTGTGGCCAATGTAAGTTCAAACCAAATTTGACTAGTATTTCCTTTTTGGATATTTAGACAAAGTTACGTCGAATTATCCCTCCACTATTTAGTATCGGTACTTTGTTTAATTAATTCAATAAAATAGGATACATTTTTACTAAGTGGGCGTATTTCCGAAAAAAAATGTAAAAAAAAGAAGTGAAAATGATAGTATTTGATATTTCGAGTTGTGTTTGGACATGAATATAATTTTGAGCTATTTTTGAATTTTTGTGAGTGATCTGAAGCGAAATTCATTCTTTTGGAAAATAGCCTTTTTGGAGTTTTTCAAATTTTCGAAAAAATTCCGAAATTCATCTTCAAGTGAAAATCAAAAATTGATTTAAAGTGCAATCTCTGTATTTTCCTTCTATAATATACACGCGAAATGACATAAATTGATTGAGCTTGTCCACGTACTAGTGTAGAGAATAAAAAAAAAATAATTTTTGTATTACACAAGATTCAGGAAAGAGTCGTATCACTAGAAATGCGACGTAGACAACCTACGCATAAAAAAAATAGGTTTAAGCCAAACTTTTAATTAGAATTGTACTTGAAACCTCTTAATCAGAAGCCAAATAGTGTAGTCACACGGCAATTAACTAATGCAGAATTTTGTACTTCATAACAAATGCAGTATAAAATAATACTCCTTCGATCTTAATTTATGTATCATATTTTTCTTTTTAGTCCGTATCAAAATATTTTTTTATTTAAAAATAATATAACTTTAAATTTCTTACTTTATCTTAGTGATATGATTTACAACCACACAAATATTTATAGCTTATACTAGACAACTTTCAAAAGTCATTTTTTTTTTTAAATTTCGTGTCCAATCAAACACAGAATATGAATTATTATGCACTGATTGATTTTGCTAATACCTATAGCCAGACGTGCCTAATTTTGTGAACCCCAAAAGTCAAGTACTCAACTCCCATGCCTCAATCCAAGGGCGAAGTGCAACAATAGCTTCTTTTAGGCCCTCTATTTAAAATATATTCATATTTTGTAATGTATTTAAAGATTAGTTAATTCATCCAAAATTTACAATTAAGTATTCTGAATTTGAAAATTCAGGACTAGTATTCTGAATTTTTGAGCTGCTAATTTAAAATTCAGGATACTTCTGAACTAAAAAGGACAGCTCGGTGCACTAAGTTCCCGCTATGCACGGGATTCGGGTAAGAACAGGACCACAAGGGTCTATTGTACGCAGCCTTACCCAACATTTTTGCACAATGCTGTTTCCACGGCTCTAACCCGTCATCTCCTGGTCACATAGCAGTAACTTTACCAGTTACACTAAGGCTCCTCTTACAGAAATTTCTGAACTACTAATTTTTCAGGATATAAGATTCAAAGTTATGCACACAATTTTGGAACGATATCCTGAATTTTGAACTTTAAACTTTGAACAAAATTGACTAATCTTTAAATATATTTTAAACATACTCAAAAGTGGCTCCATGATATTATTTCCACTCAATCCAACTCATTTTCCTTGTTCCTTCTCAGTTATAACCAAGTCATTGAGAACAGCAAACTGCCTCTATCTAGATTTTTTCCTAGCTATATTTTTCACACTGCCAAAAATTTCTTTCCCTTTACCTTTTCACACCATCTGAAAAATATGGCAGCAGAATCTTTTCTCTTCAATATTGCAAACTCCATCTTAGGAAAATTAGGATCACATGCACTTCAAGAATTTAACTTAATTTGGGGTGTTAAAAATGAGCTTAACAAATTAAAGAAAACCTTAATTACCATTAGAGATGTACTCTTGGATGCTGAAGAGCAACAAATCAAGAATCATGAGTTGACAAATTGGCTTGAGGAACTTAAAGATGTTCTGTATGTTGCTGATGATTTTCTTGATGAAATTCAGACTTATGGTCAACAAAGGCAAAGGGTTAAATCTAAGGTTGGTTTTTTATTCTCACCCTTTAAAATGATTCTTTTTAGATACAAAATGAGTCATAGGATAAAAGAAATAAGGGGGAGATTAGATAGTATTGCAGCTGATAAAGCTAAATTCCACTTATCTGAGAGAAGTATTGCCTTAGAAATGAAAAGGGATTTGACATATTCCTTTATACTTCCATCTGATGTTGTTGGAAGGAGGAATGAGAGTGAAGAGATTGTTGAAGTTCTAATGCAAGAAAATGGTTTTGATGAGTGTCTCTCTGTGGTTTCAATTGTTGGAATTGGAGGTGTGGGGAAAACCACACTTGCTAAATTAGTGTACAGAGATGAGAGGATAGTAAAGAATTTTCCTTTGAGGATTTGGTTGTGTGCCTCACAGGATTTTGATGTCATAAAGTTGGCTAGGAACATTGTTAATTTGGCGAGTGGTGTATCGTGTGATAACTTTAACGTTGAACAAGTGCATGCTTCACTTCAAGATGCATTGAGGGAGAAGAGGTTTTTACTCATCATTGATGATGTTTGGAGTCGAGATCGTTCAAAGTGGTTAGAATTGAGAAGTTTGTTGATGGTTGGAGCGCGTGGAAGCAAGGTTGTTGTAACCACTCGTAGTGATTATATTGCCTCGATGATGGAATCTGTTGTTACATACAGCTTGAAAGAACTACCGCACGAGGATTGCTTCTCTTTGTTTCTGAAATGGGCGTTTAGAAATGGACAAGAGAGGCATTTCCCGAACTTAACTAAAATTGGAGAAGATATAGTAAAGAAATGCAAAGGAGTGCCTTTGGCAGTGAAGACTCTAGGTAGTATGTTATATGCGACAACTGATGAAAGGGAATGGTTAAAAGTGAGAGATGATGAGATATGGCAACTAAAACAGGATAGTGATGATATCTTACCTGCACTAAGATTAAGCTATAATCAGTTGCCATATTACTTGAAGCAATGCTTTGCTTACTGTTCGATATTTCCCAAGGGTCAAGAAATCGCGAGCATCATGCTGATTCAATTGTGGTTGGCGCAAGGGCTGATACACTCATCTAATGAAAGCCAAGAGTTGGAAGATGTTGGTGTCCGCTACGTGAAAGAGTTGTGTTCGAGATCTCTTTTTGAAGAGGTTGAAGCATACGACTCATTTGTAACTTTTAAAATGCATGATCTTGTTCATGACCTTGCAGTACTAGTTGCACAAACCGATTGTTGTGTCATAAAAAACAATACTGATAGTATAACTGAGAAGGTTCGTCATGTAACGCTTTTCAATTATAGTCCTGCAGAGAAAAGCATTCCGGAAATTTTATGCAAACAAAATAGAATTCGGACCATTTTTGCTCCGTCTGAAGGATTTGAAAGGTATGCTGCTCTTTTGGTTGGTAAATGCATTTCAAGATTCAAGTACTTGCGTGTGTTAGATTTACGCCATTCAAGTCTTGAGACTTTGCCAGATTCCATTGGAAACATGAAGCATCTAAGGTACATTGATTTTAGTGGCAACAACAACATCCAGATGCTTCCCAGTAACATTTGCAAGTTGCCGAATCTGCAAACTTTGCGGCTTGTTCTTTGCACAAAACTTCAGAAATTGCCAAGAGAGCTGGGGAATTTGGTCAGTCTAAGACATCTGTACTTGACAACCAAAGAGCAGAATTTGCCAGAGAAAGCATTGGGATCCTTGGCTCTTCTTCAATCCTTATCAATATTTGGATGTGAAAATCTTGTATCACTATTTGATGGAATACAGAAGCTCACAAAACTTAGGACTCTAGTGATCGGTGATTGTCCGAGGTTGACTTCTTTGCCAAGGGGCATAGTTCTATTGTCAGCCTTAGAGAGCTTTATCATTGTCAATTGTGAAGCGCTTATGTTGTCCGACTGGCAAGATATTCAGGGCCTAAAGCGAATACGGTCACTTGTGATCGGAGGACTTCCACAATTGGTGGATTTGCCCGAGTGGTTGAAAGGGGATTCTAGTAGTCTAAAATTCATTCGCATCTCGACTTGTCCAAGCTTTGTTGCATTGCCTGCTTGGCTGGAGAATGTCACAGCCCTCGAGAAGCTTGAGATTACAGGATGTCCAAAATTGTCATCTCTGCCGGATAGCATGACTTCTCTTACTACAATGAGGATGCTGAAAATTCAGAAATGCCCTGGATTAACTAGAAGATGTGAAAAGGATACCGGAGAGGATTGGTCAAAGATAGCTCACATCCAAGAAATTCATCTTAATGATATCAGAATATACAGTGAGGTACAACTTTCTTTTATTCTTCCTTGATTCCTTTCTCCTCCCACCCCATTAGAGCGCAAAAAACTCGAGCAAAAGGTCTTAAAATTGAAATTTGAACTTTATTCATGTATATACTTTATTGCTTAGTCTAGTACTCTTTATCTCTTTGTTGACTAGTATAGGTTCCAGAATCAAAGAATTTTCAATGCCCTTCGATGAATCTGTCAAAATAGTCCCTTCGATGGGCTACAATTTTTTCCAAAAGATTTTTGTCTGAATTATGAGGATTCATAAAAAAAAATGATTAGTTTTAGGCTGGCTGTCAACCTACTGCAACCCTCCACCTTTATCTGGTTTGTGAAGGTCAAAGTGAGCAAGCTCACACAGAGCGAGTTAAGTTTTAGTTTGTTTAATCCAATATGTTGCTCTTTATTAAGAACTATCTCAAGTGATAAAATGCACCACGGGGAATGACTCAAAATCGACCTTATGTTGGCCTGGTTACTTACTGGCTTCCTAGAGGATATCGAGGCTCGTTACTAGATGCTTCAAACAACATGATGAATTGCTTCTTGTAGTAGTGTTTTGAATGAACTACTACAGTTTTGAGTTTGAAGGTTACATGACTGAATATGAAATTCTTATGGTTAGTGCTTACATAGAGCCAAAATGCTTTCTGATTATCCCTCAAGTGCCCATTTTCCTTAATGATCTGTGCCCCCCTCTCTCTCTCACACACACACAAAATGGATGAAAAAAAGTACACCTGAAGCCGTATTCGCATATGGAACCAAGTTCTTGAATGTCTGTTAACGAGCTTTGTCTGTTATGCTGTGTTTTCTCTTGAGTTCATTTGCCACTTCCACAATTACATCTAAAGCAACTTTTACTAAGACCAATGTAGTTGTATGTAAACCAAGAGCAATAGCATAACAACAACAACAACAAAAAACCTAATGTGGGTCCCATAGGTGGAGTCTGGGAAGGTTAGTGTGTACGCAGACCTTACTCCTACCTTGTAAAGGTAGAGAGGCTGTTTCCGATAGACCCTCGGCTCAAGAGAAATATATAAAGAAAAGAATCCATGTAAAGAGAGGCAGTAACGATAGTCAAAAAATAAAATAACCGAAGCAACATCAAGAGCAATTGCATGATGAACCAAAAAGTATTGTTAAGAATAATGAATTACTATCTTGTCTGCATTAGTGACTGGATTATGCTGATTTCTCACATCATATATCAAATATTGGACCTATTACTAACATGTTATTGATACATTTCCATAAAGATGTTAGACCTCTGACTCCAATGCAACCTAACTCCTTAATTTTTTATGTAGGTGAGATGAATGTGTCCAATTTATGGCGGATGTCTCACAACACATAGGAGTTTACAGATGACAGCTCCAAGACCTACTCAAAGACCATGTTCTCTTTTAGATGAAAAAATAAAAAAACTATTGTAGAAATTTAATTACTTGTATAAAACACTATGCATGAATTTCATGTTACCATTTTAATCACTCTTAAATCTTCTCTCTCAACTTTGCTTGATGACCTGTGAATAGTTGAAAGGGGAGCCTTGGAGCAACGATAAAGTTGTCTCCGTGTGACCTATTAGGTCACAGGTTCGAGCCGTGAAAGCAGCCACTAGTGCTTGCATTAGGATAGGCTGTCTACATCACACCCCTTGGAGTGCGGCCAGTGGCGGAGCCACATGCGTGTCAACTGACACCCCTTTGTCGGAAAATTACACTGTGTAGTTAGGTAATTTCTTATAAAATATGTATATATACTATGTATTGACACCCCTTGACTTCTTGGTGAGTTTATTTCTTCATATTTTGACCCCCCTTGATGATAATCCTGGCTCCGCCACTGAGTGCAGCCCTTCCCCGGACCTTGCGTGAGTGCGGGATGCTTTGTGCATTGGGCTATTCTTTTTTTTTTAGTTTATCTTTTTTGATAAATTTTAATTATTAATAGTGTGAAATATCCAGTATTGTGGTTGTCTTGATTGGTTAGAAAGGAACAAAATCCATCAAAGAACACATGCTTACGCGCACAGGCTCACTCTACGTGAAAAACTTGCCAGCACACAAGTTTACACTAAACCACACAATTTTTTAGTTTGGTGTAAATATCGGGTGCGAGTAAATTTTTTCTTTTTTTATCCTTTCCATCACATTCCTTCAAACTAATATTATCCTAGGCTCTATTCATGGAGGGGAATCAAATGAAACAAATAGCAAGACAGAAGGATTTTGGTGCTACAAAATGTTTAAGTGTTCAACAACAATCCAATATAAGCAATAACAATCCAGTATAAGCACACAGGTGGAGTCTGAACTCTGAAGAGGGTAGTGTTACGCAGACCTTACCCCTACCCTGGGGTAGAGAGGTTATTTCAGATAGACCCTCGGCCCAAGAAGATAACAAGAGACAATAGAACAGTAACAACAACGGAGGCCAGAAATGTTGTGGGAAGGGACTTTGATAGAGATAATGTTGTTGAAATGCTTTTAAAATCAGGAACTGAAACAACCCTTTTTGTATTTCCCATTGTTGGAGTTGGAGGCATTGGAAAAACTACTCTTGCTGAATTGGTGTATAATGATCCAAGGGTAGTTAGTCATTTTCAGCTGTGTTTGTGGGTTCGTGTGACTCGCGTGTTTAATGTAGAGAAATTATTAGAACAAATTGTCAATTCAGTTAGAGATGATTTACGCGAGAATCTTGATATGAATGAACTGCAGAATCTAGTTCCTGAGACTTTGTATGAAAAGAAATATTTGCTGTTTTAGATGATGTGTGGAATGAGGACCCAATGAAGTGGGATGACTTGAAGAAATTATTGATGGTGGGTGCTTGTGGAAGCAAGATTCTTGTGACTACGCGGAATGCGGCAATAGCTTCGATAATGGGGACGGTTCCTGCATATAATTTGAAGGGTTTATTAAGTGAAGATTGTCTGACTTTGTTCTTGAGAATGGCCTTTGAACAAGGTCAAGAAGTACTATATCCAAATCTTGTTAGGATAGCGTCAGATATAATGCAGAAGTGTGAGGGTAATCCCTTAGTATTAATGATTTTAGGATCTTCATTGCATATGGAAACTAAGGAAAGAGAGTGGAATGAAGTTAAAAATCATGAGATGTGGAACTCAAAGCAGAATGACAATATTTACCAGCATTAAAAGTGAGCTACGAGCGATATTCTTGCTTACTGCTCAGTATTTCCCAAAGGCTGTGTGATTGAAATAGATAAATTGATACCGGTAATGAATCAGAAGATAAATTGGGATTCAATATTTCCAAGAGTTATTGTCGAGATCCTTTTTTCAAGACGTTGAAGAATATCGTTCTGTTTTTACCTCACTCTGTAAATTGCATGACCTTGTACATGATCTTGCACTGTCAGCAGCAGGCGTTGAATTCTGTACCATAAATTCTCATATGCAAAACATTTCTGATGAGGTTAGACATGTGTCATTTTCTGATTATGATTTGTCAGGCACGGAATTGCCAGCATCTCTTCTCAATAACTAGACATTGAGAACCATATCCTTCTCTGTTGATGGAGTAGGGCCGATGAGTACAATGTTCGTTGAGAACTGCATAGCAAGATTCGCGCAACTTAGGGTGCTAGATGTAAGTGATTCATGTTTTGATGAGCTGCCTCGCTCTGTTGGCGAATTGAAGTACTTAAGATATCTTGACATAAGTTCGAAGGCAGCTTAAAGAATTGCCTGATTCGATTAACAAGTTGCTGAGCTTACAGACACTTCGACTTTCTCATTGTGCACTACTTGAAGGATTACCTAAAGATATAGGAAATTTGATCAGCCTAAGACACTTGCATATAACCACCAAGCAAACATGTTTTCCTGATAAAGCAATAGGCTGCTTATCATCTCTTCGTTCTTTGTATATTCATAGCTGCACGAATCTCGTATCTTTGTCTGAAGGCCTGCAGTATTTTACTAGCTTTCGCACATTGGCGATTATTGGTTGCCCAAGACTGACCTTTTTCCCAAGTATTATGAAACACCTTACTGCTCTGGAGAATCTGATGATCGTTGACTTTGAAGAGCTTACATTGTTGGAGTGGAAAGATATTGAAGGGCTTAGCGGTCATTGGTTATTGGAGGCTTACCCGAATGGGAGTCAGAAGATGTTCAATGCCTCGGGAGCCTTAAGATGTTAGTTCTTGCGCGGTTGCCACAGTTAGTTACTTTGCCGCGATGGCTTGAAGGTGCCAGTGCTACTCTACAATACCTGAGAGTGGAAAGGTGTCCCAGTTTTTCCTCATTGCCAAAGTGGCTCGAAAATCTCACTGCACTTGAAAAACTTGAAATTTCCAAGTGCAGTAAATTATCAGCATTGCCCGAGGGGATGAGTTGCCTCACGAACCTGAAGGTACTGAGGATCGACAACTGTCCAATCTTAAGTTCAGAATCCAAAGGCACTCATATTTCTGAGGCTCGTATCAACAGAAAACTGATTCAATGATCCAACTATCTATATCTGTATGGACCCTTGTGTTGCTTCCTTCATGGATAATCATGTGCCGTTTAATGTTATGCCTTGAGTAGTATCTTTGCCTATTTTTTATACTTTTAGCCTTTTGAATCTGATAATCATGTAAAGCACGTGGCGTCATCACAGACAGAGGTACTCTAAAATATATCTAGGCATGATGAGTACTAGTTTCTTTCCGAATGTATTGGTAAAGATTATGCTATGTCCTAAAGCTCTACCTTCCCAGGCTAGGGGTAAGGTCTACATACACATTACCCTCCCTTCCCAGACCCCACTTGTGGTATCCCACTTGGTTTGTTGTTGTTGTTCCTTGTTGCTAACAAAGCCCGATAGTCTGTATGTACAGAGTTACAGACTGTAACATCTCATGCAGCCAACTATCTGGCTGCTTGCTTTCTATATTATGTATTTGGTTTAACCATCCGGTGTCCGTATCCTACTGGGCTCGACTAATCTGGATTGCACGGTGTAGGCTATCTAACCAGACAAGTTCTTCAGTACCATGACTCTAGCTTCATCTTTGATTTAATTTGCAAATAGGTATACTCCTTCCAAGAAAAATCTCAAAGGATCTGGAAAGTTGATGGTACCATCAGATTTGGAACCAAGAGAATACATGATTAAGCGGAAGGGGAGCCTTGGCGTAGCTGGTAAAGTTGCTGCCATGTGACCACGAGGTCACAGGTTCAAGCCGTGGAAATAGCCTCTTGCAGAAATGTAGGGTAAGGTTGCGTACAATAGACCTTGTGGTCAGACCCTTCCCCGGACCCGCGCATAGCGGGAGCTTAGTAAACCAAGCTGGCCTTTTTTAGAATACATGATTAAGCACTTTATGACTTCTAGAGGAAACAAGAAAGGTATGTTACTACTTTTATTGGATATATCATTCTTGTTCAGATTGAAAACTTAAAGAAACATAAAAACAATGGTAGATTTCACTACCCTTCTTCACACATGTGTTCACTTGCTTGAGTATTACAAATTTGATCTTGAAAAGAGAAAAATCTATTCCTATTAAAACTTGTCTAGAAATTGACCTTTTCTAAGTATGCTCATTTCCTTCTGGTTATTTACGGACATGAACAAGACTAACATCATCGATGACAGGTCCACACATGTGACCGAAGTCATGTATCTTCGTGTGATAGTATGGATTATAGAAAGCTATTGTTGTTCTACTTGTATCCGCCTGGAACTTGAAGCTTGCTTTCTTGTACCATCCTTTTCCACTTGATACAAAGGAAATTTCTGTACTGGCCTTGCCAGCAAATGCTTGAACTGTCATTGATCCGTGGCAGTCATTGTTGGCATCGCCGATGGTGAAAGTCAAGTTGTAGAATTGTTTGGGGACTGTTCTTACGATCTGTGCAATGCCTGTTTCCCTTCCTCCTATCAATTCAACAGCTCCAAATCCTGAAGGCACTAAGAAATGCTTCGAGTCGATGTATTTTGCTGGTTTTGCAAACTGAACCATCCATCCGGGAATTGGTGAGTACGGGCCTTGTTTCAGAGGGAGGACGAGCACCCCTGTCGAGAAGTTCTTGAATACATGAGGACCATTTTCAAATCCACCATTTTTCACCAAGTTACCTGCATACATTGTCCAAGAAAAAGGTATTGCATCAGAATCTGATTTTATATGCACCATTATACTAAGCTGAGAATTTTCACAATGTAGTGGGCGCATTTGCTCAAATGGCCTTTTTCTGGCCACTATTTAAATTCTGTCTCAGGGCGTAGGGCTATGATCGTAACCATTGGTTTGGCCGATTATACAGTCTCCCTTGGTTGAGACTTAAGGTTGCTAGCAAGATTCAGGTCAAAGCCACACGGCATTGTGGTGAGACGTATCATCCAACTACTTTTAAAGACGAAATTAGCCCACTGGACAAACGAGGAGGGATTTTAAAAAAGGGCAGCTCGGTGAACTAAGCCCCTCTATGCTCGGGGTCAGGGCAAGGGCCGAATCACAAGGGTCTATAGTACACAGCCTTACCCTGCATTTCTGAAAGAGGTTGTTTCCACGGCTCGAACCCGTGACCTCCTGGTCACATGACAACAACTTTACCAGAGGAGGGATTTTAAAAAATGGCCTAAAAAAGGCCATACAACAACAACAACATGAAAGGCCATATGGCACAAATAATCCGATGTATCGTAGGGTTGAAACTTACCTTTAGTATATGTTGCCGGGCTCATTTCCTTGATTGCAACATGGTCTATAAGTGGTCCACAAGTTGGATCTTCTTGGATACCAGGGTTGTGAAATGTGACCTTAACAAGATCAGAGTTTGCTTTGAAAGCCCAAGCATAAGTATCACCACCATCAGCACTATATAGTGTCTGAATGGGAAGATCACTCGACATTCCTGCAGCTGAGACGGTAAGGACCTCGTCTTGAGCACAAGTTCTGGTGGCTCCAAATGTGAGGGAATATGTTGTGTTTGGCTTCACCTTTACATATTGAGAGATAGAAGCCTCATTCCCTAACCGAACCGCATGGGCCCCACGAGGGATCGGGAAGTAGAAGCCGCCCGGCTGGGGCCCACCGGATACCCATTCTACTACACCCTTTTTTTCCCATTTGGGCAAGGAGTATTTGCCAATGATCACTGTTTTCTTCATATTTGATGGTTTTGGCCCCTGTTCAAAGTCTCCATTTTGCAGTAAATCTGTGAAATATTACAAAAAGAGATCAATATCACCTCTCAGCTAGCAGTTTATTGGAGATAACATTCACCCAAATATTCTGAGTGATTAGTTATTTCAGGAAACAAATAGCTCAAGAATTTCATTTGTTGTGACTTATAGACCTACAAACTTGTTAAATCCATGCATACAGTCGATGTTGCTCAGACTCTTCAAAAATGCAGACGCATGCGTGTCGGATCCTCCAAAAGTAGTGCATTTTTGGAGGATCCAACAGGGTGCGGCAGCATATTTAGAGATCCGTGCAACATAGCATACAGTACAAAAATGCTCAAATGCAATCTTATTGGCTAAGGTCTATAAGTTAGCTACAACCACAACTTGATCTATTTGCTACTCTTCTAGCGCAGTGGCGAAGCTACGACTTTGGCTAAGAGTGTTCAAGATTTAACCGATATGCATAAAAAGTAATATCAAGGTCACGAGTTCGAGTTGTGGAAGCAAGGCTGCCTTCGTCGCCAGAGGCGGACTTATGCTATACCGAGAGGGGTCACCGGCACCCCTAAAGTTTGGAAAAAATTCCATATATACATAGTCCTTAAAAAATAGTGATATATTAGTAGTGTGCACCCTATATACAAATCAGATTTTGGTTGAATCCAAAAGTGCACCCCCACCTTCAAATCCTGGGTCCGCCTATGTAATCATCACACCCCTTGAGGTGCGGCCTTTTGCGGGTCCGGGGTGAATGCGAGATGCCTCATGCACCAGGCTGCCTATACACAATATAATGTACCGGCGAAAGGTGTTCAACAACACATTACCAAATGACTCTACATATCAATAGCATCCTTATTATATAATGCAAAATAATTTTTTTAAGTACTACTCATCTTTATAGCAGCTAGAGTTGCTCACTTTTAATAACACTCAAGAAAGTAAAGAAGAAATTTACATAAGAGTAGAACTTACCATCAAGATATGGAACAGATGTTGCAGAAGCAAAGCTGATGTACAAACAGAAAATGAGTACAAAAGAAAGAGAGAAAAGGGAAGCCATTTTAGTGCAAAAACTTAGTGAAAAAAGAAGTGAGTGTCAAATAGAATGAAGAGAAAAAGCCAAGAACATGTCTTATTTAAAGAGTAATGAAGGCAAAATTATAAAAATTTAGTAAAGATAAGATTAAAAGGAAATGGAAAAAGAAAAAGTGTATAGCCATTACATAGTGCCACTAAATTAGCCGTGAAATGTGTCGGGTTGTCTCATTTTCCTCTTTATTTTCATTGAAAACTTGATATTATTTTATTAACAAAAGGGCTTAACTTTTATGTACTTATAATATACTACAGTCAAACATCTCTATAACGGCTACTACCATTTATAACTACACTTCTTTATTACGACCAAGTTTTGGAATCAATTTTCATCTTATGTGTAATACATTTTCTTTATAATAACACTTCACTGTAACATCCAAAAAATATCCGACAACGAGGTTATTATACAGAGGTTTGACTGTGATTTCTTACTATATCAAATTAACTATTGACCTACAACAACCAATAGCATAGTAGTTTGATTTGACAACTTAAGAAACATAAAAATAACATATTATATTCAGTTAAATTATATGGATAGTGTAAAATCTTTTTACAATATTATATAGTGTATGTAACTTAAATTCTTACCACCAACGGATAAAGTGAGATAATTGGAAACCTCTTCCTCTTAACTAGAGGCGATATATTCAGAATCCTTCCATTTTAACCGGAGGTCTCTGGTTCGTGCTCGAAAAATAAAAAAAACTTTTTGGTAAAGAGCGTTTTACCCTCTTAATGAGCTTACTCGACAAAAATTTGAATTAGTTGTCCATGATTTTGGATACGAAATGGAAAAAGGGGCAGCGTTGTACACAAAATATCCCGCATTCACGTAGGGTTTGGGAAAGACTGCACGCCAAGGGGTATAATACAGACAGCCAATCGTAAGCATTAATGACTGCTTCTACTGCTCGAACCCGTTACATATAGGTGAGACAACTTTACCTGATTTAAAAAATTAATAAATTCTTAAACGAGTCAAATACAAGCCAAGAACGTGGCTTACCTAAAAGTCTTAATTAGTTGCCGTAATTTTCTCTGTGTCACTTGGAATAGTTGAAAATTGTAGATTTCAATGAAGCTTCCTTTTAGTTTATTCTTCTACTTCACATGATATCTTAACTAGCCTTTGACTTATAATCCAATGAAATGAATCTGTACAGACAAGTACAAACTGACTTTTCACTAATCATTCATTTCCATTAATTGATAGAACATGTTTGCGTAATACCCTTTGAATTTTATTAATTGCTCCCGATCTCAATTTATACGAGACTCTTCGCTTTTCGAGTTTTTATCGTGTATTTGAACGTAGAATCTTATAAGCTTTTCAAAATTAAATTTACATATTTGAAAACTAAGTAAAGGTACGATAAGTTACAATAATTATTAATTTAAAATATTGAAAAGACATGAAAAAACTACAGTCAAGATATAATTCTTTTGACTCTCGAAATCGGAACATCATGATCACATAAATTGGGACGGGGCCAGGGGGGAAGGGAGTATAAAATATTAGTTAGGGTCCCTTTGAGTTATGGTTGATATTTATGATTTGCATGTGAACCAGCATCTCAAATAGTAGAGTATGGTTCACGTTCTGCTTATCAATTTTTCGGGGTATTATCACTTTGCCTTTAGCCCGCGTCAGAAATTATTTATATTCATTAGCCGAAAAATTGTATAAAATTTGTATAATTTTTATATATAATATGCAATATATATACAAAAAACACATTTTTTCGATTATTATTTTTAGAGTAGCTATACAGATTCATTTCCCTTTTTTTCCTTGTTAATTAAGAGAAGCAAATGTTTATAGTATTATATACCAACTGGTGAAAATTGAATATCTATAGAGTGTACTAACAAATTCATAAAATTTACACTCCTTGTCATTGATATGCAATGTGTTTATTTTATTAATATTTACAATCACTTCGAAAAAAGAATGAACAGTTGAAATATGAATTAAACTAATAGAGGATCTTTTTACTCAGTATAAGCCTTTCTAGTTCTTCAACTCTTAATTTTTTTTCTTTTTTCTATCGAAGGAGAGTGGCTATCACTAAATTTTATTCACTATAATAATAAAGTCATAAAATAAATTTTTATGTATTTACTGTAATAATAAAGTTACAAAACTATTATTATCACATAAAATATCGAAACTTTTATTATAACAGTTACTACAAAACTTTACCTGTTATAATAGTAAAACCACTTAATGTGTAGATTATATATGTCATTATAGTGGATAATATTTAGTTACTTTTACTATTGGTGAATTGGTGATTTTATTATTATAGGAGACAAAATTCAATTGCTTTAATATGACAGAAGATATTTTTGTAATTTTAATTCTATGGTGGATAAAATTTACGTTAAATTAAGCCGAAAAGTGAGTATTCTCACGTGACAATTTGAAGATTTTATGTAGGATTTGCATTCTGTGGAATTTTTTTTTCTAGAATGTTAATATTTCTTTAATTTTAACTGAATAAACAAAGAAAAAAGAAATAAATTCTAAAGTCCATCTTGTCCCCTTTGGTACGCCGGTTGGTACGGCAAGCGCGGTGCCCATTTCACTTGCATGTGCGATCATAAGCTCCCTTGATTATAATTTGGTCTCTACGCACTGAATTTTTATTTTTTTAAAATTCCTTTTCACACTTATTGTCATTTGTTAAATTTTTTGTCTAATGAATCTTGTACCTGCCGTTAGAAAAAATTCTCATTTTTGTCCCATTAACTCATAACGAAATTCCAATCTGAGAATAATGTTTACCTCGAAAATATGAATAACAATTAAATTTGATTTGTGGTTTTAAAGATATGTGATTAGATTCAACACCAATTAATAATCAAGAAATATGAAGTAGAAATAAAAGAAACAAGTGAATCAAACCAAAGTTACTCAGCAGCGGTGACCTCGAGCTTAGTGACCTCGAGGTAGGTTCAGAGCAATAAGAATAATTAAGTAAGAAAAGTAAAGAAAGAGCAGTAGAGCTGAAGGACAATTCTGATGAACAGTAAGAGAGAAAAGTAGAATAGTATATTCTTGCCAATAATCAGATGATGTTACAAATGATTGGGATCCCTTTATATAATAGGGGAACCCTAAATAAGGTATATCTCTATTTACAGTAAGGAATATTCTTGGTACAGCTGTCTAACCGCCTAGTACGGAATCATACAATCATATTCCGGAATTTGCGCTATTATCTGGGAGACGTGGCAGGAATCTAGCCCATTTTGTTACAAGTCCATAATGGTACTATCTTGGGGTCGAGCATACTCGGCTTCGGCGTCCATTGTACTTTGCTCCGTGGTCATTGCATCCTACCTTCAAGCTCGGATCTGATCCATCGGGCTCGAACTCGGCCTTGTCCAAACTCGGGTTCGAAACGAACCCTCGAGCCTAGAAATCGGAGGCCTCTGATTTTGACCGTATACAGACAGTCCCCGCATTTCTTAGAGTGGTTCGATAAGAAACGATTTGATCTTCAATGCTCCGATGCCTCAGTCCCAATGCTAGTTTCGTGATGTCAGTGGCTGAAGTGACTGAAAAGGTCGCTTTCGTGCAGTTCCCAAAGTCATTAATTGGAGGCGGCTGACGGTCGGCTGTTTGGCTTCTCCACTACGCTTGAGTAACCTCTATAAATAGGCCAACTTCATCATTTCACAAATTTTACTTCTCTAAACGCTTTCAAAATTTCATTAGCTCCTTCTCTAAGTTCATCCTTCTCTTTAGTTTGTCTTTACTTCATAATCAACCCTTTCTTTTTGAATCACTTCACCACAATGGCTAAGACGTCTAAATCCGTTCCTCAAAAAGAAAAAACTTCTTCATCATCGCATCCGGCCAAAAGTAAAACGGTAGCGCCACCTCGTATCGAGGAGTGTATTCCCAAGCCGTGCGAAACAACATCTTATTTCAAAATTGAAAAACCTGTATTGACACTAGGTCGATGTGAGCCCATGTCCTGATACGTCTGTTTAATAGCCGAGGATGAGCTCGAGTAGGTAAAAAAGGACTACAAGTGGGAGAACAAAGACGTAGTGATCCCTTCCCCCGAGGAGGATATCACTACATATAAAGCGGGGTGCTTAAGCGTGTATACCTACCCATTCACGCTGGGCCCTGCAAATCCAGCTCTGGGTCCCATAGATCCAGCTATTCTTGATTTCTGCCAAAATACCAAGTGACGCTTGGCCAAATCTACCATTCATTCTGGCGAATTGTTCATTTGATCAGATTCTTCTCGATCCAGGTCGAGGGGATGCCTTTTACCCTCGACCAACTGATCAGGCTGTATAGTCCCCGACTTTATCAAGGTGGCTTGATAAAACTACAACGCCGATCCTCAAAATCTCTCTTCTCCAGCATCGATGAGGACAAAGACCGAGGATGGATGAGCCGATTTGTCCGAGTCAGGACCTCTGACCTGATTCCTGCTGAGAGGATGCCATTCCCCGAGGAATGGAACATGAAACGTAAATACATAGTAACTTTATACCCTGCTTTCTCTTCTTTTTCTCGACTTTATCTTTTCCCTCGGTCTAACCCCTTTCCGATGGCGCAGCTATTGCTTGGTTTCCTAGAGCGGTCCCGGGCCTCGAAGGTTGGGTCCGAAAATTGGCTTCCACTTCCTCATATGCGGAGCGTTGCTGGCGAGATTTGGCCAAGGGCCGATGAGAGGCTAAAAATCATGGTGAGTTCTCTTGTTTGTTTACTTGTAACTCTTTAGTGGAATACTTGCTTTGTTTTTATGCAGGTCTCGGAGATGTTGTTGCTATGCGGCCTCCCCCGGCTGGTGAAGAAGAGATCCCGAAGCCTTGTAAAGAAATGAAAAGAAAAAGGGGGTTGCCCGCAAATCCCCCGAAGCCCAAGAAAAGCGTGGCTCGAAAGCCCAAGGTCGACACGGTGGCCTTATCTCCGAAAACGGCCCAACGCCTTCTGGATTACGAGGAAGAAGAAGATGACGATTGCATGTTAGTAGCTCGTAAAAGAGG